AAGAATCAATCTTAAATGATGGGCTACAGTCCAGCTACTTAAAATAAGAACTCTGATGTGCTGGCACATTTTGATTTCTACTCATTTAAGATCATTTAAGATTGATTCTTATTGGCAGCAAGTGTTTGTCAAGAGGAGGCAGTTATGACTAGGGAAGGCAACTGCGTGTCTAGGGTGGATAGCCTGAAAAAAACAATGGTAGAATAAAAGCAATGGATGGTCTGAACAGGAAAGGCTTTAGCAAACTCAGTAGGAGCAAATACATCTACAGCAGCCTTCAGTTTCCATTATTATTACAAGAGTGTGTTAGCAACTTTTATGCAATGCAGAATAACTTGGAACAGAGCACAAATGAGGATATATTTAAAATGCAACCTCTGTCTGTGGCCCTAATTCACTATTAAATTAATGCTGAAACATTGCAGGGGAGGGGAACGAAAAGATCATGCCAAAAAGTAATAATACAAGTTTTTGAAGGTCAGATGTATTGGGACTTCTTGTTCTATTAAATAGCAGTGTCTGCCAGCTCCATATTCCAAACAGGAAACATATTCCATTGTTCAGTGTTGCTTTTACACAATAGAAAAGCATAAAATGATGATCCTTGTTGTAGCTAGCATCTCTGTAAACAGCTAAGAAAGGAAGAGATTAAAATACAAAGTTACCAGGACTCCAGACTAGAAGTTCAGTATCACCTTTCTTTTGAAAAGAAATAGTGCCAATAGCTTTAGGTTCCTTCTGTCACGGAGGAATGTTTTTGCAAGGTCTCAGAGCTAATTAACAAATGAACAGGAATTTGATTTGAAGGTCCAGGAGTCAAATAATTGCAAATATTGGATAATTTTCAGAAACGTTTCTTGTAAATTGTTATATTGGAGAAGAAATCTGACTTTGCTGATCAAACTTCACTTCTGGGTTTCTCAGACCTAAATGATAATTATTCCATCATAAGCTACATGTTAGCTTTATCTGTCATGTGTACTTTTGAGCATTTTGACGTTTTGAAGAAGGTTAAAGGACCTGAAGGCCAAGTGAAATAAAGTCAAAACAGTATCTATAAGAGACAACACAATAGAAAGAACAAGACAGAAAGGACTACCTCAGTGAAGATAGAGTAAGGCTGTGAGGCAGGAATGACAAATGACTGCAAGGAGAGGAAGAAATTCTATGCTGAAATCTTCCATGCATTTAAAAAAGAAAAAGAGACAGAGAAATGGGAACATAGTGAAAGATTCAGTGTCTGTTAGGTGGAGAAAGTATTAGGTCTAATATGTAAAACTCCATATTGCGCATGTGTTACTTAATAATTTAATCAAATAGCCACTAGTTAAATATAATCATGATCAAAATTTTTACACAAAAATACCTCTAATAAATAAAGTTGATCAGAGAAATTGGAAACATTAATATGGATACAACACCAAATATTAATACCAGTATAACAAGAGAAAATTCAATATTAACACACTGTGCTAAAATTTAAATAGTTTGGTTTGCTAAATTTCATTGCCATATTTTCCCCACTGTAAAGTCAAAACCCACCTTCACATTGACCTCTTCTATTCATTCGGTATCCACTGTCACAATATTCACATCTATACGAGCCAATAGTATTTATACAAAAGCCTTCTCCACAGGTGTGAGGTCTCAAGCATTCATCGAAATCTGGGAATGGGAGAAATCAAAAAGGAATTCATAGGCCTACATTAATCACAAAGTGGCCAAAGTACGAACTGTCTGCATTTTGCCCACACTATTTTCATAGATCTCATAGATGTTTGGGCTGGAAGGGACCTTGAAGATCATCAAGTCAACTTTTTTTTAAGTTAAGGCAAGTTTGGATTTGCAAAAACTTTGATTGCTATTATATAAGCTCATAACTGCCATATAGGATTTGCTGATTATGACTCTCAGCCTTGTTTAAAGATATGACTGCAATAAATAAAAGCATCGCAATAGCAGTCATGGGTACCTATGCTTCTCATCTCAGAAACGGTTTTTCATAAAACAGTCATTTCTATCAGACTGTATGAAACTGTACTCTTGGATAGCTACCATTTTTGCAGGACTGAAAGTGCTATGAAAGCACCTGCTATTCATTGTTCAAACAGCAATTAAAGCATTCACAGAGGACTGTCTAGTGTTGGCGATGTTGAGAAATGAACCATAACAAAAACAAAAAGTTCATGTTAATCTGCACCACCTTTAGTGTAGCAATTCAGAGTACACAAAGTACTTCAAGGACCAATGGCAGCTTTACTTAATAGTTTAAGGCCCCTGGCAGATGTGCATTTAAAGGTGTGATGGGATCTGGCGTGAGATCCTTACAGTCATACTTCCTGCCATGCCACACGTGCATGGCAGGAGGCATGATTGTGGGATCAAGCATCAGATCCCATCCCGCTGTATTGCTAGTAATCTCCATAAATTGCACCGAAAGTACCTTCTGCAGAGGATCTTTTAATATTTTTCATTTTGCTGCTTGTACCGTCCCCTTCCACCTTTAATTGGTGGAGGGGACCTGTTGGCCAGGTCATACGCTGCTGATTGCTGAGAAAGCAAAAACTGAGGCATATTTAAAACCTCTGCTAATCGGGCGGGGGCTGGGGAGGTGAGGCGCAAGCAGTGAAATAAAAAAACTTTAAAGAATCCGCAGCAGGGGACACTTCTGGAGAGATTTATGGAGATCCCTACTTATTGCTGGTGCAGGGGGAGCCTGAGATCCTGATTCTGGGAGCCCCCTGCACTGGCAAGTACTAAACTCCAATGCCTGGGAGCCTTGTCAGCTGACTGGGTTCCCATATCTGTCACTGTGGCTGGGAGCTCCAGCTTGGCCACACATTCCATTAATAGCATGATAGGAACCAGCCACATGCGGCTGGTTCCTATGGATACAAAAATGTACAAAATATGGTACAAAACACGTGTAATAACTTTATGGCTTACTCTTTGTTTTATCATGCCATTAACTGCATTAACATGTGGCCAGGTAACTACTTAAGATGTGATTAACTGGTTAATAATGTCTTAAGTGTAATGTGTAACGTAGTCTAATGCAATTTTTTTCAAAGGCCAAGATAGAGACAACTGTATGGAGAAATTAATATTTCTCTTCTTCTACTTCTTTTAATTAAATGTTATTTAAGATTACAAGCAGTAAAAGTAGAATTCAGCTGACATTATTAGAGAAATATGAAGTACAACTCTTATATTTGCATAATAAAAGAGCAGTAATTTAAAAAACTTGAAGTTCCTCCTAAGACAAGGCTTTAACAAATGCAATATAATATGCTATACATTAGGCCTCTGGCACACATTCATTTAATGGAACAATGGGATCTGATCCTCAGTCCCAACAACTGTGCGATTTTGGGACTGGGGATCAGAACCCAATAGTTCCACTACTCTCTGCCAGTGCAGGTGGTACCCACACATGGGGCTGACAATCAGCTGACTGTTGGCCCCAACCCTGGACAGTCCAAGGTCCAGTTGACTCTGCTGATTATTGGCTCTGGCTCAGGCAGCCCTGGGTACGAGATCTAAGGCTGTCAGGACTGGGGCTGACAATCAGCTGATTGCCAAAACCCTGCTGTATGCAACTCTGGTCAGGCTGCCTGATACATGGAGCAGAGGCTAACAGCAGGGACTTTAAACCCCACAGCATTGCAGCCTGGGCCCCAGGATTGGCAATCCGCTGACTGTCAGCCCCCAGACACGTTAGTTCTAATGTGCCATACAAACAATCATGAAAATGTTCTGCATTGTATGTGGAACATTTTTATGGCTTGTTCCCCAATTTATGGCACCTTAAATTGGGTGCACATTTAGTGCCCTTTCTATTTATGTCACAATTAACACATTAATCCCAGCATAAATATAACATGTAAGGGTGGAGGTGGGAAAGCCTTAGAAACAGTGGGAGAAATTCTGCTTTCAGTTAAATCCAGGGTAACTCTGGCCCTTGGAGTTCCCTTTACCAAATTTGCTCACAGCTGGTTGCTCCCTTACTATATCAAGTCCCCAGTTTTATCCTATTTTGTGGGAGGTAATGGGTGATTCATAGGCAGTGGGTGCAGGCAGATGTGGAGGGATATATGATCAAGGCAATGTATACATTTATATGAACAGTGCTTTCACACTGTGGGACTTAAAGATGTCAAAAAGCAAAAGTAGGGTAATGGATAATAGTGGAAACAGGATACCTTCGTGAATTTGGGGCAGTTGCAAGGTCTGGGTCTGTTTTACAATTTTAATATTTTACCTTGCAGCCAGTTAGAAGTAAGGGGAGGGGAACATGACTTCATACCTACAGTGGCCAACAACTTTTAAAATAAGTTAAATCTGGAACCCTATGTTCTTAAGTGTGTCCGTTTGAAGTTATCAAGGATTTGAGTTTTTATCTTTTTCCTGTGAAATATCATAAGGAAAACAGCATCTTGATCTCACAGGGTCAGATCTAATGTCACTCAAGTAGGCAAGAGTTTTTATTTTGGCTTTCAATGGGTTTGAGATAAAGCTGTTTACAATAGTTTTGAAATCAAAATTTTCTTTTTTATAAAGATCAGTAATTACCAATGCAGTCTGTTCCTTCTTCATTAGCCATGAACCCTGCTTGGCAAATACACAGGAAACTTCCTTCTGTATTTTCACAGCGTCCAAGGGAGCATAAATGAGGTGTATGAGTACACTCATTAATATCTGTTAAGAAATAAAAATATAAGAGAGAGCAGTAGGCAACAGTCAAACCTTCTGGATCACAATTTATGAATGAGAGGTCACCCAGACCTTCAACATACACAACTAAGCAAGGGAATGGAGCCTGTTCAGATCTTCCACCCCCACTTTAGACAGAATCCAAAGCCCAAACTGAGTCCAGACATTCAGTACTTCAATGGCTGTAGTTATGTGTACATCCAGAAATCAAACTAGGTCTCCCACATGGCAGACAAGGATTCTACCACTTAACCATAACAGTAGGTTAATGACAGAGAAAAATATAGCATAATAGGTCATGACTCTTTTACCTACTCCACCCCACAAATACATGACTACGTAAAAAAAGGTCTTGTATTCTTTTAACTGTTTAAAAATGTATATGCTTTGATCTCTCAGAAAACCAAAAAAGATGTATTAAAAGCACACTTACTGGCTTAATTTTTATGAGCATTGTATCTACCTGAAAAATAAGTAGTGGTCATTACTGAAATCTTTAAAAGTTCTATTTAACAACTTTTATTACAAAAACACTATTTGTGAAGCACCCTACATTAAGCCTGTTTTGTTGTATTTTCTTCATTTGGACATGAAAACTTTGTGTCATTTCTTGAAGACTATGGGCTTTCTACAGGAAAGGTTCTGATGCTTTTGTTCAGGCAAAAGAGCACCACTGACTTCAGCAGGACCACACCTGGAGCTAGATACTATTTCACATCATGTGCACTATCATACACAAATCTGAGACATTAGGCTTCTGAAGCTCAGTATGGTAAAAGAGAGAACATGCAGAAGTTCGTTTCAGTATGAAAATCTGTTTGCATGTGCAGCTAGAAAAATTATATTTGAGATGTCCAGGGGTCTAAAAAGTGGCACAGCAAAATCAGCCTTGGACTGCAAACAAAGGGGAAAAAATCACCTCAAAGTGCAGCTGATTTAAAAAGATATAAGCCTCTTAAAATAGATGCTAAAAGAAAAAGAAAAGTTCTACTTAACCACACCAGAGCTGGCACAGTAAGGACATACTAGTAATAGGTATAAATATAATTTTAAGCCATAAACAAAGAAGAGAAAAGCAGCCATGTTCAGGTATTTTTAAGTTCAGCTCTTCTATGTAAAGTCTGTTTAGTAAATTAATAAAGGCCTATATGAGCCCAAATGTACACTTGATTTTGATATTCACCTTGCTCTTTATATTGATCAGACCCTTGGATTGTCAAATACCCTGTTGCTAGGGCAAGTCAGATAACTTAAGATAGCTTCCTGCTCATTGTTCTCAACTCCTCTTGAATTAAGCAGGCCTTTTAATACATTCATATAAAAAAATTAAAATCACTAATCGCCATTCAATTTTGATTAAATTACAGATTCACTGGGACCTGATTTGTAGACTACTCTTTGATAAATAAAAAATATTTTTGAGCCATTGTGGAACATACAGGAGAGGAAATAGCTCTGACTTATTTGTTATACACAATACCTGGCCAGAACAGGCCCTATATTTCAAATGCTTCACTATAGGTTTTTAGAAAAGTTCATTCATACCAGAACATTTTGTCTGTTGTTCATTAAGCTTGTAGCCCTCGTAGCAGATGCAGGTGTATCCCACAGGCAAATTAACACAGTGTCCTGCTCCACAGATATCGGGGTTCACTGTACATTCATTGATTTCTGAAGAAATAAACAAACCAAAAAGCTTACTTTAAACTATCCTTACTATTTCTATGAGTAGGTAATATTCAGTTATTCCAAGGAAAAGAAGAGAAGCCCTGAAAGCAGCTGTGAACCAAGTTGCTCACTCAAGCATTTATCTAATGAGCAACTGAGGGTAGAAACACGTGATATCTCATTTATGCCACCACAAAAAATATTATGACAGCATAAATGGCAAGCAAATAGATTTCCTTACCCTTTATTACAGCACACCAGTGGCCTCAGTGGAAGGTAGCGTTAAATAGTTCTGCTTTATTGCAACAGATGTCTATTTGCTCTGTGGCACAAGAATGCAGGCAGCCTAGAGCTGCCTACACTCTCCAGCCACCCCAGGCAGGTGCTCCGGGGGCTTAAGGAACCCATTCATGTATACCCCATGGAACTCCCATGCAGGATCAGGTCCCTCAACCTTCAAGAACTGTGCAGGTCCTGTGCTGCCTGGCAGCTCCTTGCCAGGGCCTTTGCCGGCTTATGCTTCACACAGTGTGGGGCCTGGTGTGGACAGATGGGGTGCAAGGGATTCCCCAGGCCCCATGCCACTTCACACTGGGACCCACACCTCCATGTGAGGCATGGTCAGTGAAGGACGTGAGGGAATCCCCGGGTAATGTCCTTCATCCAATAAAGTGGATCAGCTGTGACTGGATGTGTCCTGACAAAACTGATCTGCTTTGTTTGGTGACATCTGTTTTACCCTCATTCGAATTACCTAAAAAAGGGTCTCTTGCAAGAAGCTGATGGTGGTGATTCAGATAGTGGGTGCGTCTACACGTGCACATTTAATGCGTGTTAGCCCAATTTAAGGTGCATTAAGGTTGTGCATCTACATGAGCCTTAAAAATGGTGATTGTAGGCTATTTGAGCCTAAATTTGATACCTGCGTAAAGCAGGTAGGCAGGGGTGGGCATAAAGCAGGTATCAAATTTATCTGCAAATAGCAAAGTTGCACTAGTCAAGCTAATGCGCATTAACCTGCATTAATGCACCTTAGTGTGTGCATGTGTAGACACGTGCTTAAATCACCTTAATGAGCATTAGGCTAATGCTTAAGTTTAGGCATGTGTAAAAGTACATGTAGATATGTCCAGTGGTAAGAAAAACTTTGATGATGGAGAAGCTGTACTTTGCTTGAGATATAATAAAAATTTCCTGAACTCCTCTGATTCACTAAACAGCATAACACCTCTAAATGTGAGTTATGTTCAGTACACTGGCCAATACATTAATATTGTGTTCTATAATATAAACCTCTCCTAGTTTCAATTCAATATGACATTATTCTTTCCAGGCTTTAAAATGTGTAGTGCTAAATAGTTGATGCATTTCATCCCATAATGAAGATCAACATTCAGGTTTGATTAGACAGGAAAAACGTTGAGTGTGGAAAAAAAGAAAACAAAGAATTGGAGTGAGAGGGTGTTTTGGTCTGTAAAATTCTGAAATATCAATCATAAGTTCCTAACACTTAGAAGATTGAAGCATTTCAAAATAGATTTATTATCATTTGCATCAAATGTTCCACAGTGGGATCTTCCTTTCAAACAGAAAGGGCTAGCATGTTGGTAGAAGTGGCTTCATTTCAGTGAGGTGAAATGACTCTTAGGCAGGGGCGGGCAATTATTTTAAGCAGAGGGCCGCTTACTGAGTTATGGCAAACCATTGAGGGCCACATGATAGGCAGCCAGGGGCAGATAAATATTAATTTTCTAAATTTCTGTAGGCCGGATAGAATGGCCTGGTGACTGCATCTGGCACACGGGCCACATTTTGCCCACCCCTGCTCTTAGGTTTCTAAAAGCACATCTTGAAATTCTGGAAAGGAACGTTTGTGATGCTGCCTAAATGTAAGACTTTCTATGGAAATAGTTATAACTATGTTTAGCTGTAGCTAAAGTTAAGAGAACATAGAAGTAATCTAAAAGTAAGGAAAAAAATTACAAAAGGATAATTACCTCCAAAAGAGGTAACTAAATTCAAGCATGATAAAGAATGAAAGGGCACAGGTAAAGCACTGAAAATAACCATAACTCTGCCTTTCAGTGACATCAGTATCTGGCTTTCCCTTCTTTAATTTGTTCTGACTTAGTTTTTATCCTGCAAATTCTTTCTGATTCTGTCTCTTGAAGATTCTGAAATTGTTTGAGAGTGTATTTGAACAGAATATTGTTCTATTTATGCTGAATTAAAAAATATCATGAATCATTTCCTCTAAGGCACACCCTTGAACTTCTAGTTCCATTGCCTGTTCCTGAGGAAGCTAAGGACCTATGAAATGGGGCCAGGAAGCTGCCAATTTTTCCTGTGACAGAGTTGACATAGCTAGGTCATTCACCATCATCGTCTCCCAGAATTGAGTAGAGAACTGATTGGGCAGAAAGGACAAGGTCACAACGTTGCTGTACTGCAAATTCTGGTCTGACATAATTTGTGAGTAGAAATCTCAGATATAATGGAAAAGCTATGGAATAATTGGAAAAGGCAGCTACATGATCATAGAAAGACAGGATGATACTTTCTACTTCCACAGTTAACGTAAGACTATTTAACAGAGGAGCAGATCTGACCCCAACTTATACACAAAGACATTAATTTCAACAGGAACATAGAGATCATAAATCAATCAAACATTTTCTTTTTAAATCATCTTTCTTTATCTTGGAAATAAGATGATGAAAGATGATGAACCAGGGAATCTACGTTTTTAAGAAAGCCATTAATAAGATCATCCTACCCTTACATATGCATATAACTTTATTAAAACCCAATGGAATTGCATGCCCATTAGTGTGAACAGGAAATAGTATATAACAGTGGAAGCCAACCTTTTTGGCCTGGGTCCCACAAGCTAAGTCCTGTGCCTTCCCTGAGTGCCACTTCAAACCCCTTCTCTTGTTTGACCTGCTGCTCTGATTTCTGCTCCCTGCCCCCTTTGGTGCCGTTCTGCCTGTTCCCTTTCCAATCTGTTGTGTGCCACACCGAAGAAGCTGCTTGTACCACCAGGCTGGCCATCCTTGGACCAAGATAATCTTGCTTTGACATCTATATTGATTATAAAATATCATCTTTTATCATAAAATATGTGTCTGTGTATTCCAGTTATTTTAAAAGATTGAATAGTTACAGCTGAAAGGAGCAACAAACCAAATATCAGACAGCTGCACATTTATCCTTCTATAAATATGTAGATTAGATTGCATTTTTTTAATTGTACAGAAAGTGATAAAGAGACAGTAGACTGTTAGAGTGTCTATAACTTTAAACCATTTTAAAAGGGGAGAGAAGACTTGCAACTTGGGAACATATATCAGCTATTCTGATTTAACTGTTACATATGCCACTCCTATACCCATGTAAGTGTGTTATACTGCTGTAACTTTAAACTGGAACAAAAGAGATTGCAATAGTTTCGCTCCACTTACATCAGTTGGGAAGCTGAAAAATTTAAGTTATACTGGTATGGCTTATATTCAAAACTATTACATCTGTCCATACCCTCAGTTAATTAGTCCTCAATGAATCAATCTTCTACAACAGATTTGAACTATTAAGTCAAATAGACATTTACTTGTTAAGCTGACCAGGAACAATTCGCAGTGACAGCACAAATAGTCCTAACCAGATCCATACTAGATTTGGCTGCCTTATTATTGGGAATATGATAACTGGGTTAAATACAAGGATTTTTTTAAACTGTAATAACAATTTCACTTTTTAATTTAAAAATATTCTGCCTTAGACTATAGTTTACAAATAGTTTTTGAAGATTAAACCTAGTTTAAGGCCCCTTTTTGCCAGCCTTGTTAGGCTCTTATTGAGTACATTTCCTGCTGAAATGGTGTTCAAGAGGAAAAATGTTAAGTCCTATAATATGGTATACATACAATACATGCCACACAAAGAAAGAGCAGGAAGAAGGGTAAAAAAGTTGGAAATAGTACTGAAAAGGCTTGAGCATGAGGGTGGCTGTAACAGGGAACCCTTGCCTTGTTACTGGAAAGTGGTGTGGCCCCTGTAAGAGCAGGGATTTTGTAGCATAGGCACAGGCAATCAGCAGAGAGGGAATTAAGGAACAACCCTGTGGTCAAGTCAGCTGACACAAGACTAGAAAGGGGCAGGGCCTTAGTAGTATATAAGCCAGAGCTAGAGCCGGGGCAAGGAGTTAGACTTGGGAAGCAGCAGGGTGAGGAAGCCTTTGTGTGAGATGGCTGCTACTGATGACTGCCAGACAGGGAGCTTTAAGAGTGAAACCAGAGGGACCTGATTCAGGGTTCAGAAGAAGTGTGGTAGGCAGCTGGTGAGCTAGGTGTTGGTGTTGCTGCCACAAGGCTTAAGTTTATGTTTGGGTTTTGGGTGGGACTAGAAAAGGGGTGGCTTGAAGGTCCCATTAGTTCCCAAGAGGTACACAATTGCCTTGAGCCCTGCCAGGGGTCAGGCTCAAGGCACAGATAGGGGCCAGGGATCCCATCTCTGTCCAAGAAGGGGGCAGACCTGGGGGCTAAGGGGCCTGGACCCTGAGAAGGGCAGGGATATAGCCTAGGGAGGGGCAGAGCTTGGGGCTAGAGGGATAGTCCAAAGAGGGCAGAGATTGGAGCTGGAGGGCCCAAAGCCTGACCAGCATAGCTATAAAAGCCCCAGAGGGCAAGCCCAGAAGCTTTGCCTACAAGCCTACTAGCTGGTTCTCCACTTTCCTGGGTAGTCCTAATGACTCGGCTATTAAGCTAAAACATTAGAAGGTCCTTTTTGTCAAGTATCAAACACATACTTGTCCTGAATTTTTGTGAGATTCAGTTTCATGACTTACCCTCATTGCTGCAGACCTGCCTGGCCAGTGGAGTCTACTGTACATGTTCAGTAGCTGTGTAGGTGTTTATGCCTCAGAATTGGACAAGGAAGTGAGGTACAGACATTCAAAAAGCCTGAGGTGAAATCGGTCTAAGTTATGTGCTTTTCTTTAAGTG